ATTAATATATAAAAATGATACAAATAATAACCAAAATTGTTTTCCTAAACAATTTTTTTAACAAAATATAAAAATAAAAGTAAAACTAAACCTGTATCAACTTGTTCTTCACTTTTATTTCATATAACATTTACAATCTCTATTTCCATAATCTATAAAAGAAATAATACTGTTACAAATAATATAAAAAAATATTATATTAAAAACTATAAAAGAATGGATGCCACTCTTTTTCATAATTAGATGATAATATGAATATTAATTTAAAAAATATAAAAAATATGTAATATACTCTCCACCTATAGTAACTTATAAGTAATCATTAAACAAACTTGAATAGCTTATGGAAATTAATACGAAGGAAGGAAAAGTAGTTGGATACCCTACTTTTTGTTTTTTTCAATTTCTTAGCATTCCTTCTTGTCTATCTTTTGTTTGAAAATCAAATGATTTTAAAAAAATAAAACATTGCCTTTCCCTTCTCACTGTAATCTTTCACCACTACCTTTCCCTTCTCATTGTAATCTCTCACTTAGCCCTAACTGGTTCCCCTCTTAAAATCAACCAAAAACCATCCGAAAATTTGTTTCTCCCTAATCCACCGCCCTCTCCAATGCACTCTTTGCTGGTTTCTCTCCTCCACTTTTCCAAAATTCATGCAATCCTCACCCAATCGGCCAACCCCATTGTTCACCTATTAAAATTAAATCCCCGAAATCCCATTTTTAGATTAGCTACTCTATAATCCCTTGAACCCAAATCTAGAAAATACTCTAAACCCATATATCGATCACCATTGAATTCTCTGATTTCAAAATCATAGAGTAAAAACAAAAGGGATGAACGAAAGGAGCCTTCTTTGGGGGTGGAAGTTGTTGCCGGAGACAGTAATGTTGGTGATAGAAAAAAAAGAATCATAAGGAGAGGTTGACTATAGGGAAGATTTGTCATACAAGTGACCTAAAATCATTTTCTCTATAAATGCATGACTTATTTTATTGTTAAATTGTTAAATTGTTGGCTAAAATCTTGAAAAATTGATGGAATATATCTAGTATACCTCTTGTGGCCTAATCCTCCCCCGAACTCTGTTTCTCACTTCTTAGTTGATGCAGTAGAATTAGGGTTCAACTCTTTATTTATATATTGGTTGAGAAGATAAGTCTAGAAGATAATCGAATAGCGTTTAGATAGAATTGAAATGAGCAAGTTAACATTTTTATTGGTCTAGAAGAAAAAAAAATGCTATTTAACTTTTTTTCCCAAAGTGTTTGTGATAAAATTTAATTATTTAAATTTAAAAATCGAGAAAAATGAACCTTTTAAAAAAATCAAATCTTAAATTAAAACTTAATAATTTAAAATAAAAACACATATTATTCTTAGGTTTTTATTATCGGCTTATGAAGAATTTTGGGTTTCAAAATCAGATTTTTTCCCACTGTCCCTTGAAGAAAGTTATAGTTTCTCTTAATTTAAGGATTTGATAGCAAAATCTAAGGTAATATTTCTTTCAAGTTTCCTACAACCTAAAGCAATTTTGTCATCTTAACCTTATTATAAGAAATTCTGTTAGGAAAGAAGAAGTAGGACTTAGGATGAAAAAGGGAAATTATTGATGTCAGACGTGCTTTTAGCGTTGACACCACAAACTATGTGTCGACACCATATCCGTGTCGCCCCTTTTAGCAATTTTTTAATGGTAAATAGCAAATCTCGTCCTCCAACTTTTTAGAATGGGCACTTTAATCCATAACTTAAGATTCATTCATTTAGGTCCCAAAAAGGAACCTTTCTTCTTACCATTCAGTCCTTCAACTTTTAAAAGATATTTAATTAATCTCAAAAACTCTTATTATTATGCATTCAAGTTTTTAAAAAAAAAATAAAAACTATGTAACATCTATTGAAAATCATATATTATCCTGACGAATAATAATGCAATCAACATTAATATAATAGATTAAAGCATATAAAATGCTTCTCATCACTACTATTGCTTTTTATTAATTTCTTCATTCGAATTTAGTTATTTTAATTTTAATTTTTGATACAATTTTAAGCAAATAATTTTATAAAATAGATGAATAAATAATAATTAATTTTTTTTCTTCTTATACAGAAATTTTGTTGAGTATTTTTACTTAAATATGATAATTTTATAATTATCATTAATTTATTATATAAAATTATTAAATTAATTTATATAAAATTAAGAAAGTAATACAACTAAAAATAAAAGACAAAAAAAAGGGTAAAACATAATACAAATATTGTTTTTAGAAAAAAAATTCTGATATAATCTCTGCTTATATTAATTTCTACATATGAAAAAAATACCTGTACTTCCCTAAAAAAAAAAAAACCTTGTACCCTACTTTTATTTGTTTGCTTTTCCAATAATTTGTGGTTGTATTTTTATTATAAATTTAGATCTCTTTAGCTAGGTTCTCGATTTGTTTCATCTTTGATGTCCCTTATAATGAGTTTCCTTTTAGTTTCAATGAAAGAAATTAAAAATGTGACATTAGGGGCCTATTTGAATGAATTTAAAATATGAGTATTAAAATGAAAATAAAATATTATTGGGGGGACTAAAATTGCTATTTTACAATTAAAAAAATTGATTAAATTGTCTTAAATCTGCTAAGAAAATAATAATTTATGTTTTTTAGAAATGTTAATTTTATAATGTTGATTTTTATTTATAAGAAATTATGGATTTCTACATTTCACAAGTTATGGATTGTATTAGTTTTAAAAAACAAAAAAACTTTTATTCTTGTGATACTTGAGTGTTCTCGTTACCAAATTTAGATACAATGGAGTTTGTTTATTTGTGGCAAATTTTTTGTTAGTCACAAATATTCACCTAATTTATAGTGACTAATATTGTTGTTAGTAATTTATTTATTTTTTTAAGTTCAATTGTGAATTAATTGTGACCAAAAATTTTATTATGTCTTGTAATTTTCTTTAGTAACAATTCATATATAATCACAAAATATATTTGTTACAAATCATAATTTTAAT